TCATTTTGAGGAATACTGAATCTGTGTTTGTTTTGTTTTTTTGTGAGTGCGATGAATTAATGCATATTAATATTTATTTTAGAACTACAGTAACATCTTCTGATTTCTCTCAACACTGTGAATATAACTTATTTGAAAAAGTAACTCAGATATTCTCTTGTAAATTAAAAAGTAATGCGTTACTTTACTAGTTACTTGACCAAAGTAATCGGATTACGTAACTCACGTTACTTGTAACGCGTTACCCCCAACACTGAAAATAAACGTTTATAATTTTGGAACAGCTATCCCAAACATCACATCTGGAACTCTAATGTGTGCATTAGAACAGACTGGTTCAGTTTACTCTGATCATGTAAACATGGTTGAGCAAACCAGGTGAGAATCCGAAATAAACATCTTAATAAATGTGCATAGCATAACAAGGTTGAATAGACTTCTGCAGGCGTGGAAGAGCAAATCCAAACATTTCCTGTAGTTTCTCTTACCTGTTAAACACTTTCTTCATCCTCTGAAACAGCGATGGTGATGCGGTGACCGTCTCTGATGGCATGGTCTCAATAGTGGTGACAACATGGTTCTGGTGCTCGGGCATCATCTCTAAAGCTGGAAACTAAAGCGGTCAATCAGTAAGCAGTGATCATTCCTAAGGCTTTGGTTATTCCGAGCAGCTCCAGCTCTCCATATTGCAGGTGAGAATAACCAAACAGGTGTATGTATCTCCAGTAAGTGATGGAGGAGGGATGCTGGAGGCTCCTAGAAGTCACTAGATGTTACAGATTCATGCGCGACGATGCACCTGTTCCCCTGTTGGCTTTCTGAGCAGATGTTTCCCGGTGGTTCGGTGCGCATTTTCTGAACGCCAGAGCAGGACTGCCGTGATTATTGGGAGGCGGTGCGTTTTTGAGAGAAATAGACAGTTTGACCGCTAGAGGCCACTGTTTCCGACGGTACGCGTCAACCAATGAGAAGCATTTAAAAGTGAGGCTCATTAAATAAAGAGCTGTAATAAAGAAATGTAAGCACATTTGTTAAATGTAACAATAAGTACTGTAATACATTTTTTTTAATCATATTTAGTAAATCTAAGAAAAAATGTGGGGATAAATAAATGTAAGCACATTCATAAGTGAATGTAAAATATTTCTACAATGTAAAAATAAAATACAGTGATAAATGTAAGCATATTTATTAAAAAAGACTAATAAATATTTGTTTTAAATATTTAATTTTATTTTGGAATTTAATTACAGATTTGTTAACGCGGGTATATATACAGAGAGAAATTTAAATAAATTATTGCATTTAAGAAAATAATCAAATAAAGTCAAATAACTTTTGGAGTTAATAGGAAAAAAACACTTTAATCAACTTTTCACATATAAAAATATAGGCCTATATGTAAGTAATTACAATAATACTAAATACGTTTTTATAACATACAGCAATAATTTAGACAATGCTGAGAAGGAAGAGCAAGGAGAAAGAAAAAAATATTTGCACCGATATGTAGACAATCACTACAAAGGGACAATTACAGTTTGCTTTCGGTTTATTAATAAATCAGGTGCAGGGGAAAGGGGCCACAAAGCTTACATATCCTCCTGAGACCCAGAAATAAAAAGCTTTGTGAATTTAGTTTTTTTTTTCATGTCATTACATTGTTTAGAGCATAGAAAAAAATGGTAAAATAACATTTTTGAAAAATTATATTTTATTTATGTGTTATGCTATGTCCTCTGTAGAGGACACCAGGACTCAGTTTTTCTAAAAAAATAAAATGACAAGAGTTGACATGAAAAGGCAAAAACAATGGGATTTTTTTTTTTAAATCACCAGTCAATTTTTAGGTTTCAAGAGTTTTTTATACCTAACTGTGTTTAAGGATGGTTCTCAACTATGTTATAAAATATATAACAAAATTATTTGATATACCATTTTGCTTTATGAAATATGTGTGTAAAAATTCCATAAACTGATTTTCCCATTAAGCACAATGTTATCTATACACTGTATCTAATTTGCATATTAAAGTGCTGTTGGGACAGCATGTTGAAAAAAGAAGTGTAATAATGGGAGTACTAACTGGCCAGATTTTCATAATAATATCTAATATTTCATAAGAATATTGATATATAATTTGTTTTCCTATTCAATTCTTTTGTCTCCCAAAATGTATAATAAACATGCTTTTAGTCCTGGTGTCCTCTACAGTGGACGTGTATGAAATTATGTCCTGTTTCATAACAGGAAGACATATTTTGATTTGAAACCCCATAACATTTCCCTGAGATGTTGATTTATGACAAACAATTTGAAAATTAATCAGATTTAAATTGTAATTACAAAATATTATCATATTTCCATAAGGATGTACAATTTTATCACTAAATTAATGTCAGCCATTTTTAAAAACCAAGGAGAGGGAGTGGTCATGGTGAAACAGCCAATAATTTTGCATCTCTGGAAAGCCCTGAATGTGCTCTGTACAGGACATCCAGACTTAAAACTGTG